CAGGAATGCATTCTCTTTGCACTGAGGAGGAGGCTCTTCCTTCACTAGCCACAGGGCTTCAGACTCGTACTGAACAGTATGGGAGCTCCAGTTCCTACCTCTGTGAAAAATGGGGTCATGACCTTAAAGGATTATTGAAAAGACAAAAGGGGATGTGATTGGAGAGCCACATGCTTTTGGTCCAAATTCCCAAGGGCAAGGATCCTTGTGCATTTTTATCTTTGTATTTCCTTTTAGTGGATTACGTTCAGCTGCAAGTAAAGGAAAACCTAGGTTACAGTGGTTTAAACAAAGAGGTTTGTTTTTCCACATAGAATGAATTCTCCACATGGATAGCTAAGGGTTTTAGTTCAACAGCTTGGCAATCCTATTGCCTTGCCTTTGTTACTTCATGGTTACAAGATGGCTGCTATAGCACCAGGAATCATGCTTGTATTCAAAGAAGAAAAATGCGGGGAAAGAGGAAAGGCCAAGCCAGCTGATCTTGTTAACTTCTATCAGAAAGTAAAACCTCTGTCAGAAAACTGTGTTCTGCTCACTCTCCTGCATATTCCTACCTAGGTTTCTTTGGGCTAAGCCAACTACCATTGCTACCCCTAGCTACAGAGAAAGCTGAGATAACAGAGAACAGAATTGTCACAGTTGAGTAGACAATCATGCCCCATCTTCTGAGACAGGCACACTGCCTCGTGAAATAAAATTGAGATCCCATTATGAAGAGAGAAATGAGGAATTGTTTATCAGTTAGTCCTTGCTGTGTAACAAACCATCTCAAAACTTAGAGCTAAAAACAAGTCATTTACCTGCCCACAATTCTGTAGATGGTCAATTTGGGCTAGGCATTTCTATTGGTCTTACCCAGGGTCCCTTATGAGGCTATAGTCACTTGTCACTTCAGCTGGGGCTGGAAGGTCCAGGACAGCCTTACTCACCTGTCTGGCAGGTGATGTGCAGTTGGTTCAGTTGACTTGGTTCTCTGTGTGGTGAGAAATCACCCCCTAGGGGGAGATAGCCACGTCGCAATTCCTTCTCCTCCATTCTCCTCTCGAGATCTTGGGTACGCACGCACACGCGCCCAATGTGAGTTTAAGCCACCAGGTCCAGGACTCAAACCACGGTCGATTACGTGGGAATCCAGTGACATAGCCATTACGCTAACTGCTGGTCCCAAGTCTTGAGTTTTAAGCCCAAAACTTGAATTCTAAGTTTTTTGGTCAGAGCAAATGTAGGCTTTTGCCCAGAGGCCAGGAATGGGAAACAGACCTCTTATGGGAGAAACCACAAAGAACTTGTGACCATTGTTCATCTATCACAAGTAATTCAGATGGACAGATAGCAGTATTTCTCTTCCTTTCTCCTTCCCTCTCATGAACACACACAGGGCATTGCTCTACCTCGGTTTGAAGTCACTATGATTTTGTTCTGGCCTCCAGGGACTTCGGGTCTTGTTGGCTTCCCTGGTAGGATGGGGTGAGCCAGGCAGGACATTCCTGAGGGACTTCTGAAAACCAGGAGTCCTAGGGAAGGGAAGAGTAAGAGGGGTGCAGTGAGGCGGGCCTTGTTCTCACTGCCATCCAAGGGAATTTAGTCTCTCTACATTTTCTTCCCTTTTTTTGGGGGGGGGAAGGTTTTTGCTATAGGGCACGTGCGCTCACCAGAAAGACAGAGACAGACACAAAGCGAGAAATCTCCCCCCAGGGGGGATAACCAGGCCGCAATCCCTTCTCCGTTCTCCTCTGGGGATCTTGGGCACACACGCACATGCGCCTGGCATGAGTTTTAAGCCACCGGGTCCAGGACGTGAACCGTGGTCGACTACATGGGAGTCCAGTGACAGCCATTACACCAACTGCTGGTCCCAGTCTCTGTACATTTTCAGGCTTCAGTTTCCCCAGCTCAGTAATGGGGGCAACAGTTTCCCCACCTATTTTTTATTCCAGGGATGAAGGACCGAGATGGCCAGTAGAATTGAAAAGAGAGATTGTTCTAAACGCAATGTGATACCCTGGACCCCAGAAAGGAAGTTAGTGGTGAGCGAGATCTGATCAGGTCTGGATCCCAGTTAATAAGGTGCACCATCAGTGTTTGGATGAACGCGCCATCGTTATGCAAGATGCTGGCCTTGGGGTAGGCTGGGTCAAGAGTATACGGACACTCTTTGTACTGTTTGTTACTTTCCTGTAAATCTGAAATCATTCCAAAATAAAAGTGTATTTAATAATAAAGAGGGTACACTTGCTTCAGACCAGTAGTCCAGGTGCTCAAGCTTGGGCGCTGAGCTCCAGTTTCTGGGCCACGGAGCGTCTGCTTCCGTAGATCTTCAGGGCCTGAGAATGTGCATTTGAACAGGCCCCCGGCGATGCTGACTCAGACCACAAGCCGAGAACTGCTTAGCAGTGGCTGTCAGATGTGTTGATCCCACCCCAGTGGAGAGGAAAGACCCTTGTGCTGGGATGTTGTTCTGGCCTCCAGGGTTTAGGGGAAGAGGTGATGGGACTGGGGGCAGGTCTTTCCTCTCCATGCCTCAGCCAGGGCCTGTCATGCAGCCCTTTCCCCCTGCTCTAGGGGAGGCAGGAGAGCAGCGCCACCTGCTGGCTGACCCTTGTGCCGGGTCCCAGGAGACCTGTGCTCTGGGACCAGTTTACACTCCTGTGTGACATTGGACATCTTTCCCTCCCCTGGAGGATTTCTCCAAGCTTTTGAATGAACCGTCTACCCTTAAAGTTTGTAGTGAGGGTTAGGGAAGCTGAGGCCATGCTTTATAAACTTGTCCTGAGGTGCCGCTGTTGTGAATAATCCACTCTCACCTGCAGGGCTGGAATACCAGTCTCAGTGGGCACCGTCACCTGAAGGATGTTTTCCTTCTTGCAGAGAAGCCACGACCAGCGAGCGCTGAGGACCCTGCTGGGTGCTTGGAGAGCTGCCAAACAGACTTGGGGAGGGAGGGAATTGGCCACTTAAGAAGGAACTGACCTTGAGAGGGTATGACCCTGCTAGCTCTGGGGAGTTGAGAGCAGTGTTTCCCTTACACCAGCAGGTGGCGCTGCCTTCCTGCCCCCGGAGCAATTGTCCCGGGAAAGGGCTGAATGGCAGAGCCTGGCAAAGGAAGGTGAATCCCAGGAAGCCTGGGACTCAAGCATGAGGAGGAGCCATGGCTGGGAGTGAGAGTCTCAGGTTCTCTGTCCCACCACTCTTGCCCTGTGGCCTGCACACATCATGGCACCAGGCCTGACTCCCTGTCTGGCTGAGAGTGCTGGGCCAGAGATGCTCAGCCTCTACAAGGAGGCACTTCCTCCAAGAAGCTTTCCGGGTTCCTCCTGGCTGGGCCATGTGCCCCCTCAGCTCCCATGATCCCAAAGTTCCCCTTCTCCTAGGAAGCACCCCTAGGAACTTGGATCCAGTGAAGGGCAGTGTATAGCGACCCCTTCAGCCTCTGGCTGAAACCGATCACTTCACCATGGAAAATTTTTACATATAGAAAAGTTCACAAGTTATCCATCAACGCATTTCCCATTTAAACATTAAGACAGTAAAACAGGAGCCAAAGCGTGGCAGTAGCACAGGACCAGAAGCTGGTCCACTCAGAAAGGTCTGGAGTTCATATTCTAAGACCTTGTACGTGCCAGGTTCATGCGTGTGCATAATCTAGGCTGGCTGATGCAGAGCATGGAGCACGGTGTGGGGGCCCTGTTGGGGAGCCTCCCTCTCTCTCTCTCTCTCTCGCTCCCTCTCTCTTGCTCCTGGAAGAAATAAATACTTCTTTTTTGGGGAGAGGTTTTTGCTAGAGGGTGTGTGCTCTCGCCAGAAAGACAGAGACAGAGATAGAAAGCGAGAAGTCAACCCCCCGGGGGATGGCCATGCCACAATCCCTTCTCCATTTTCTTCCTGGGATCTTGGGCATGCATGCACACGCATCTGGTATGAATTTAAGCTGCTGGGTCCAGGACTCAATCCACTGTCAACTATGTGGGAGACCAGCGACATAACCATTACACCATCCGCTGGTCCCAATAAAAAATAGTTTTTAGCAAAGTAATAAAGTGTTAAATAATTAAATATTTTACAATTTAAAATAAGAGGCAAACTGAAGCCCACCCTGAGGCCTAGTCCTGGTTGTGTCTTTGCCTCTGTGGACAGTTACCTTCAGGAATTTGGTGTATGCTCTTCTAGACTGTATCCTAACTTTGTAGTGGTGTGTGTGTGTGTTTGTGTGTGTGTGTGTGAGATGTCTTAGTCCATTCTTGCATTGCTAACAAAAGCACCCAAGACAGGGTGATTTATAAAGTACTAGAGTTTGGGGGGCCAGCAGGTAGCATGGTGGTTAGAGTGCTGGATTCTCTCACATGGCTGACCATGGTTCAAATCCTGGACCTGGTGGCTTGCTTTCTCACTTTCCCTCTCTCTCAATCTGTTTCTCTCTCCAGTCAAATTAAAGTAAATTAATGAATAAATAAAAATAAATAATTCTTTTTAAAAAAATGAACTAGAGTTTGTTCAGCTCACAGTTTGGTGGTCTGAAACCCAGGGGTGAAGCTGCAGTATAGCAGGGGACACGGTTTGGTTTTGTTTTTTGTCAGAGGGTGCATGTGCTCACTAGAGAGATGCGAAGAAGGCACCCTCAGCCCCTAGTGGTGTGTGGCCACACTGTGATCCCTTCTCTTTTTCTCCGTGGGACGTTGGGCATGAACATGCGTACTCACACACACATGCTCAGCGTGTCTCTACCAGGGCTGGGATTTGAATCACGATCAGCCAGGCCATGTGTGGTCCATGGGACCAGCCCCAGGGCAGGGTTCTGAGCAGAGTGGCACCCCAAGTTTCTGTTCTCATTCTGCTC